ATCTGAGATTGAAATCCATCTCTATTTTTAACAGTTTCAAAGGCACTTCCTCAATTTTTTGGTAGTAGTAGTCTGTTTCACAGTTTCTGGAAATTCTTGTCAAGGTCAACAAGAAAATAGGCCTTTGTGACCCAGAGTTTCTAAAAGACACATTTGACAAATTGAGTAATGAGTCAGTCAGCAGGAAAAGTGCAGTCAGAGATCACCCCCTTCTCAAAGGAAAGAGCACAGGTCATCACAGCTGGGGGTGGGGGGATTTTAGCAGAGGCATCCAAACCAGCATCTTGCAGAGTATGCTGGAGGGCCCTAGCTAGGGAACTGAAGAGCTCTGTCCTGTCCAAGAATATCGAAAGTTCAAAGTACAAAGAAGCATTTGTGCTGCGTTCAGAGAATAAACTCCAATGAAGTTATTCAAAAGGAATGGTTGTCGTCAAGGTCTTGTCACTGGAGTTTTTCCAATTCATGGTTCCTAGAACAGATTATCCTTCAGATTGTACACAGTGCTCAAAGATAAAGGGCAGCTATCAGAGAAGCGTACTAAAAGCAGAGTGGGAGGGCAAAGACTCGTGATGGAAATACATCCTACTGTAGGTAATGAGAAAACTTGTAGAATGCCTAGAGAAGATGGAGGAAATAAGGTTTTGTCAGATTTCTAAGAATATTTTTAGTTTGTCAAAAGATTACTGAGCATCTACTCAGTATCAGGCACTAGACTGGGCAACAGATCACCATGGCATATTCTCCTAAAGAGGGAACAGCCTACTGCAGGAGATAAGTGTGCGCAAACATCCATGAATGGAACAAAGGCTGCTGGCAGAGACAGGTATGTGGTGCTACTGGAGACTGATGTGAGAAGATGGAATAAGAAACTCAGAGGGGCTAGGTGTAGAGCAGGAGCAGGCATTTGCCTAGCAGGCCTGGGGTAGATCCCTAGCACCATAAAAATGTAGAGAAAGAGAAACGTGGGAGAGTAAACAGAGAGGCTCTTGTACTTATGAGCACTTTCTCTGAGCTACATGCACAGGAACACCGGCTTTTTCCAAATGATATTTAGGGATGATAAAAGTCTCCAATGAATGACCTGAAAGGTTCATTTCATGAAGTAATATTCTCAGATACAGATTTGAATGGGCCTCTAGGACACCAAAGAGTGTTCACTAGCCACATAACCAGTATGTGGGCCACACTCAACCCCTGGCATTTATGTCCCAACACAGCTTAGCTCTGCTCTCATCAGCATCTGCAGATTGTCTCACACTGATTCATTTTTTTTTTCTTGCAAACTCAGGGAAAGAAGCAATTAACAAGGTAAAGATATAATGTCATGAAGTAAGATGTTTATTTTAATAGCAGATTTTATTTAAATGCCTTTAGAAATGATCACAGTCCCATATTTATAGAACTATTAACAGTCTCAAAGAACTCCTAACTATAGCTTACTGTATTTTATGGTAGAAATTATATGTCATGATGACATCCATGATTTTGGAAATTCACCATGGTCATGGATGGACCCTTCAAGAAAGTCAAAAGTCCAAGTCTGTGGATAATAGATTATATTTTATTGACACTCTACTAGATAAAACAGTCTTATTTTAAATTTAAAAGTAAAATCTTCTACCTTACATAATTTTCCTCTAAGTTGGGGACAGCTACCATTCCCTTTCCATTTATGATGGCTTGGCCTATACCACCAGAATGACAGGAGATACTTATCTACAAAACTGCAGACTGACAAGTTATTCAAATGAGGAGGATAACCTGATTCTCCAGGTGTGTGTTTTCTTTTCAAGTTATTTCCTGGAACCTAATAACCACTGAAACTCTGACCCCTCCCCAAAATACCCTCTTGAGGATCTCAAACTTAATGTGATTTGGCCCACAACCCCAACCTGCTTCCATTTCTGTCTTCCATGCATGTGTTTGATCACCAAAGCTGGAAAACTCAGAGTTGGCCCAGACCTTCCTCTGACATCTAATCAATCATGAAATAAATCAAATTCTCTCTCTAATGACTCTCAAATGCAGCCAGACTTCTGGAGCCCCACAACACTATCCTAACTCAAGACCAAATCATCTGTCATCACAAGATCCTAAAACTCTGCATTTTCTAGCCTCCATACTGATACAGTGCAATTTTTCTCAAAATTCAAATCGTGCTTTCATTGGATTCCTCTGAAGATCAATCTCTATTCCCATCAACAACTGGACAGTTGTTTCTTGGATAGGGATTTAATGCCTGTGGTCTACACACGACATTGAGAAGTGCTTTGACTATAAGCTGATTTTCCTTCTAAGTGAACCAAGTTCTTTCATATCTATACATTTTGCCTTTGACAAACTCTCATGCTACCCTGCCCTTTCACCCTCCTCCTCTTGGTCAGCCTCTAACAGTCTTTTAGGACTAATGACACTATTTCAGTAGAGCCATGTGTAAATCTCAGCGGCTCTCCTGTCTGGCCTTCCATGGCTCTGGATACACATCCCTATTAAAGAAAGTGTCACAGTTGACTGTAACAACTTGTTAACAGATTTATCTTCTCAGGTGAATCATGTGCTCTTATTCAACTTTGAATCTCTAGTACCTAGCACAATGCTTGCCTCCTGCCAAGCAGTCAGGAAGTGTTTGCTGAATGAAAGGACCAGTGATTGCAGTTTTCAGCTACCTCATAAAAGGAGGCATGCCATCAAAGGAGAAAAATTGCTTTTTTGTTAACTATAAAGTGAACCAAGGTGTCAGAAAAGTTAAAACAAGGAAAAAGCGTGCTTTTAGATCTCAAACAATTTTTAAGTTACCCAGCACATCTGTTCCAGCTAAAAACTAACTCCAGCACCACCTGGGGCCTTTTAGAGTAGTTCACACTTGGGTAGCAGATCTAGCAAATACTCAATGATTGTGGAAGGAGCAAGTTAAAAGGAGCTGCTGGCTCTGAAATATAAATGTGAGATGTACAGCAAAAGCATCTGCTAAATAGTCTTCCTATTTGACACATTAGACCACAATAGCAACACCTGACAGTGGTCATACCTCTCCACGATGCCCAGTATCTGTGATAGAAGTTTCCACAGGACAGCTGCAACCAGGTTGTTTTTCACTCATTCATTTAGAGACAATTGGTAGGTACTTTGTGCTACTCCACTACTCAGCATCCAGACACACAAAGACAAAAATGGATCCCTGAGATTCCAGGCTTTCGGTGGGGTAGATGGTTTACTAGACTTTGCATTGGTACCCAGACTTTGCCTGGTTCCAAAACATTCTCAAATTCCTCTCGTACCTAGCAGGCCTTGGGTAGCATCAGGGAGGTTCTGATTAGAAGCATTCTAATCCAGCTAGACGTCGTGCTAAGCACAATCTGTCTGATGGGTAGTCCTTCAAAGGGCAGTGTTAGCGAAGGTGAGGTTCACCCCTGCTCCAATACTCCAGTATGTGTTGTTTTGTTGAAAGAACATTCCAAGGTGCGGGGTGGGATTTGAAGGCGAGCAGGTCATGAGTAAGCTCAGCTCGTGCTTTGAGTAACTGGCATTTTGGTGCTTTTGTGTTAACCTCTAGTGGGATTCCTCGGGTACCCGCTCTCAATACAACGTTGGAGAGAAAAGCTTCTAGATCAAAGAGCGTGCCAGGGAAAGAGGTAAATCCACTGCATTTAGTGCGGCTGCTGGAGCCCGCACTTCAGCCTTCCCCAGGGTAGGGTACTACAGGAACTCACGCCCAACTCTAACAAACTCTATCATAAATAACGATAAATCTCGGATAAAGCTGCTTCCCCAGCCCCTAACGGGGCTGCAGTTCCCACGGGACTCTGGACAGCGCCGCGCCCTCCCGGTCCCACCCACTCCAGCGTGCTGGGTCTCCGCACCCCACTACCACCCCCTGGCACCACCTACCGGGGCCCTAGCCCCTCTCGACCCCACGTGTCTGGCCCCGCCCGGGCACCCGCGGCCCTTTAAACACCCCCACCCTTGCACACTACCCCCCCACCCGGACGGCAGCCGGAGAGGGACAAACTCATGGCGTACAGCCAGTTTCTTCCGCGGAGCACGTCCCCGGCAGCCCCAGCCCGCGGGGCTCTCCACCCCGGGCCACGGCCCCCTGGCGCCCCCCACGCCCCCGCGGCCGGGTGGAGGCGTGTCGGCGCTGTCCAGCTCCGGGGCGGAGCCGGATGGAGCGCGCTCTCCGCCGCCGCCGTTGCCT